AGGCACTGAAGCAGCAAACCCCAGGCCAGGCACTGGAGATGTTTGTGTTTTCATGTCACGATTCTACATTTTCTTCTGGGAGTGCCCAGAGGCCCAGAGCTCCAGCTCCTGGAAAGAGTTAAGGCTTTGGCCGACGGCTCTCCCACAAGGCCCACGGACACGCCCCTGTCCTGTCCCTTCTGTGAAGGGACCCGCTGTGGAGCAGCAACGTGCTGTCACCAACGGCCTCTTTCACGTCACCACCCCCAGGGGGTGGGGAGGAGGCTGGGATTTATTTTACGGCTTCTGGACGATTCCTACGGGGAGAATGCCAAACTGCGGAATAATCAACCCTTTCACTCGAGCCCCCTATACTTTTTATTCTCTCATGAAAGAATAAAGTGCGCAATGAGCCTGAGCTAAGTAAATAAAAAGGCCACACTTCCCCCCAACAGCACTGCCTGCGTCACTGAGAAATATTTGCAGACCTCAACAATCTTTTATCTCCGCGATGACGGCACAGCTTTCCAAGCCGTAGACGCTCTGAGAACTTCTTTGATTTGGTCTCTCCAATGAGCTCCTGTGAACAATTAGCTTATTAACTAATAATGCCCATTGTGGGCAGCTCCTGGAGAGAGGGCTTCCTGCTCTCACACTCGAGTCACCCCACAGGGCTTATCTAGCGCCAAGGTTTGTGCCAGGGGGCTCACCCTGGAAGTAGCGCTGTGTGCTAGGAACGTCAGTCCTCGTCGAGGAATCGGGAGGAGGAGGGAAGAGTGACATCCATCCGGCCTCTTTATCCAGCTACCTATGCACCCATCCATCCACCTCCCCAGCATCCTACCCTGCCTCTCACCGACCCATGCATTACACATCTCCCCAGCCACCCAACCGGCTATCCATGCCTCCATCCATGCCTCCATCCATGCCTCCATGCCTCCATCCATGCCTCCATCCATGCCTCCATGCCTCCATCCATGCCTCCATGCCTCCATCCATCCATGCCTCCATCCATGCCTCCATGCCTCCATCCATGCCTCCATGCCTCCATCCATCCATGCCTCCATCCATGCCTCCATGCCTCCATCCATCCATGCCTCCATCCATCCATCCATCCATCCATCCATCCATCCATCCATGCCTCCATCCATCCATGCCTCCATCCATCCATGCCTCCATCCATCCATCCATCCATCCACTCACCCACTCATTCACACTTTTATCCATCCATCCAGCCATCCACTGACCCATCAATTCACCTACTCACCTATCCACCCACCCATCACCCGCTCAACCACTCACCCATCCACCCACCCACCTAACCACTGTCAACTCACTCACCCATCCACCCACCCATCAATTCAGCTACTTAGCCACCCACCCACTCAACCATCCACCTACCATTAACTCATCAACTCACCCATCTATCTACCCACCCACTCACCCATCCAACCACCCACCATCCACCCATCCATCTATCCATCATCCACCAGTATCCACTTGCCCAGTTAGCCACCTACCAATCCAGTCAATCAGCCACCTACCCACTCACTTAGCCAGCCAGCCATCATCTACCCATTTGTCTATGAATCCATCCACTCACTGCACTTCCCACAGAGAGAGAGGAGAGAGAGAGAGAGAGAGAGAGAGATGCAGCCCTCAGTCTCATGGGACTCACATACACAAAGGGGCCCTAGGAAGCTCAGGGTGATGATGCTACTTCCCCCAGGGACACTCCTGCTGGCTGGGGACCCCACACTGTTCTCCGGTTCAGCATCCTGTTCGTCCGTCCTGTGGGAACATTTTGGAATTGTTCTCATGCCTTTATCGTGTGTGTCTCCTGGGCAAAGCCGTGAACGAGCTCCTGGCGAGTGGGAACAAGGTCTGTCTCTAAGGGGCGGGGTCGGTAGAGGAAGGGGAAGCCTATGGTAGCACGCACGGCACTTGTGAGACAGTGCAGAGGGGATGAAGGTGCTCGCCGGGCACGAGGCCAACCCTGGTGCAAATCCTGGTGCCATGTAAGATCCCCAAACACCGCCAGATGTGGCCCCGAACACTGCTGGGCGTAGTCTGCCCCCCAAAATAGCTAAAGAGAACAGGCAGAAAGCATTGTCTACGGGGACTCAGCTGAGAACAGGTGCACTGGGCCTGAAACACGTGAGCCCACCAGGGGCTGGTGCACCCCTCCAGGAGGGCAGAGGAGGGGACAGGCACAAGGAGCTGCTCCTCTAGGGCCTGGGTACTGGGAGAACAGGATGGGGGCATCTGAGGAAAGCTCACAGCACTGAGCTGGCCCAAGGGCCGGACAGGCTGCAGGAGGCCCATCTCCCTCTCCACTCAGGGCTGTGAGTGGCCCCTGCTGGGCCTCCATACAGCGTCCCTGTCTGCGGAGGCCAGATGTGGAAGAGGCTGTTTGCTGGACGCTTTGGAGGGTGAGTCCAGAGTCTGAACCATCCTGCCCCGACTAAGTCATCAGCTGAGGTCAAAACTGGGGGTGGGGGGTGGACAAGAATAGCCGAGATAAGTATCAGAAGGTTTGCTCCATGGCTTGGAGGCCAGCCGCACACACTAGGGGAAAAGGCAGCTCAGATAGAGAAGGGAGCACCAAATAAAGGGTGTTGGGAGGATCCTCCCAGGATGGGAGATGCATGCTGAAAGTAGACTATAGACCGAACATGATTGCCACTCAATGCCTCTCTTGCAAACCACAGCAGCCAAAAGGAGAGAGAGAGAGAGAGAACAAAAGGGAATGTCCTGCCACAGAGGCAGGGGGGATTGGGGGGTATGGGGGGGTGGGGGGCTACTGGGATCCGTGGTGGTGGAGAATGGGCACTGGTGGAGGGATGGGTACTTGATCATTGTATAAGTGAAATCCAAGCACAAAAATTTATAAGTCTGTAACTGTACCTCATGGTATCTCACCAATAAAAATTAAAAAAAAAAACTGAGGGGTGGCGACCTTCTATCAAATGGTTTTGAAAAAAAACCTTTTTTGTCGTTGCTGGTTTTTTGTTTATTTGTTTATGACTGGGGGTGGTCATCACACCCAGTGGTGCTCGGAGGGTGTTTTGCACTCAGAAATCAATCCTGGCAGGCCTCGAGGGACCATCCGGGATGCTGGGGACGAAACCTGGGGTCAGCCCTGTGCAAGGCAAGCGCTCTCCCCGCCGTCCTGACACTCAGCCCCCTAAGAGAGTTTTCCTCCCAAACGCTCCTCCACTCCCTCCCTCACGAGGCAGGAGCCCTCAGACACAGTTCCAGGGCTGAGCGGAACAAGACCCGAGGTCCCCATCACGGAACAGCCAGTTCAGTGGGAGAGGGACAGAGAAACGCTCGTCTGCAAACGGACGGAAGAAACGTGGGGGGTTGTGGCAGGCAAAGGCAACCGTCATGACCACACAGTGAATGGTGGCAGTTAGGGGGAGAGCATGGGTCTTTTCTAGAAGTTTCTCAAGAGAACGGCTAGGTGAGCTGAGACCTACAGGTTACCTGGGAACCAACAGTCGAGGCTCCAAGCTCCAGCTCGGTGTCAAGGGATAAAACGAGGGACACCTTCCCAGAGCAGGGTGGAGGAGGGACCCAGACAAGGCCAGGGCAGAGAGGCGCTGTCGAGGGCCGTGGACACAGACGGAGGAGAGAATCTTCGCCACACCCTCTGGCTGAACGCGGGCACTTCCTTTAACCACTCACGTGAACACCGTCCAATACCTCTCGGCTGTTAACACCAGACGCGCCACGGGATCCCAGAAATCCGTAAAAAATTCAGAGTTACAGCAGCGGGCCAGAGAGATGGTGCAGTGGTTAGGGCCTCCAGGGAACAAGCCGGGGGCTGGGGGTGTAGCACAGACAGACAGAAAGAGCCAGCAGGGACCCGGTAGAGTGCTCAGACACGGAGCCAGAGAGACGCGGGGGACAGCAGCGGGGATCTTGGGAGCCGGGCCTCTGTCAACTGCAGGGAATGCAGGGAGAGGTGGCCAGGGCCAGCGTGGACAGAAGTGGCCAGCCGGGGCGGCAGCTTCCAGGGGCTCAGCTTCCCTGATCCAAGCCTTTGGCCCAAGAGAACAGGCTTTGCGGGCTGTGAGGGGCCGTGTCGTACCGACTGGCATTCCTGAGGCTTAAGGGAGACAGAGACAGGAGTCCCCTGCCAGGTCACGGCACCCAGCCCACGTGCCCACAGCCGCTGCCCGTCCCCATGGCATCCAGAGCTGACCTTGACCATGGTAGCAGGACCAAGGCCAAGGCATCTGCTCCATCTCTCGGAACCCAGGTCCCGTGTGGCCAACCTTCTCTTACGACACACGGCAATCAAGAGTGCAGGGCCCGTCTCCGCGCACACCAGCATAATCCCACCCAGCATATCCGCTGCCTCCCCGAAACCCCTAGGCACTGAGGGGGCGGCCCTCCACTGGGGGGCTTCAGGAGTGCCTCTGGCCTGGAGCAGGAGGCAGGTGAGTTCGTGCAGGGGGAGCCGGCAAGGGGCCGGCCCCAAGGAGCAACCCCAGCCTCCCCCAGGCCGAGGCAGAAGGCCTGAGGATTCCAGGTCACCGGAACCCTCAATCCAGGGCGTGGGGGATCTCAGTGTGACGTGGGCGAAAGGCAGGCAGGACAGGGAAGCGACCTTCTCAGAGCCCAAGCCTGGAGGGGTGAGGGTGGTGGAGGTGCCCGCCAAGGGGGTGACAGACCCAACCCCTCCTGGGTCTCCCAGCTCCCCCCTCCTGCAGCCCAGAAGAGCCACCGCAGGGGGCAGGTGGGAGTCAGAGACAGGCACAGTGCCACGCAGGCCCAGTCACAGAACTGCTCAGTGCCTCAGTTTCCCCAGGATTGCCGCTGCCCTGCGGGGGGGACTGGGAGATCACTGCCCATGCCCCCAGGAGTCCTGCGATCATCGGCCAAGGTTAACCTGGAGCCACTCGAGTTTTCATTAATCCCCTTGATGCACCCGGCGGGATGGCGCGTCCCCATGGCAGCGGCTGCTTCACCCGCCACCCGCCCCAGCCCCTGCCCCGGGGCCCCCAGCTCACCGATGGTCCTGCGGAGGTCTTCGCACTGGCTGATGTGCGGGAACTTCAGGATCTCCTTCCACTTCTTGCTTTTCCCCTTGCGCTTCCCTCCGCCCCCTGCGGAGATGGGGAGAAAGAGGTTGGTGGCTGTGGGGGGCTGACCCAGGACCCCCCTGGCCCGTGCCTGTCCCCACAGACTGCCCACAGACTGCCCAAGCCCCGTCCACTCCCACCCACACGGCACCCGGGGGGCTCCTCGGGGCCAGGAACGGGGTCCCCTGCTCCCCGCGGCCCATGCTGTCTCCAGGACCCCCATCCGAGTCTCCTCTTCCCTGCGACCCCCCCTCCATCCACCGAGCTTGCTCCCTGAACCCCAGCCCGGGAACCTCTGGCTTGGCACTGACCCAGGGGCCGTGTGCCCTCGTGGACAAGGTGCTGCCCTGCTCCCAGGAGGCGCCGAGATGGACAATGATGACAAGCTCGAGGGTTTCTCCATGCCCAGGGCAGGGGCCGGGCCACCCTCGCTGGGAAGGACGAAAGCCACTGAGGGCCGGGGAAGGCGCCGCCCCCACCCGGGGCCGGGAGCACAGCCGGCAGCTCCGGGCACCACCGCGGCGGCTTCCCACAGCAGAGAAACCTCAGCGTCACCAGCACGAGCCCACAACCTCAAATTAGGAAAACCCAAACCCAAACCCAGCCCAGGCCCGGGCCACGAGCCTTGGCCCTCCCCGCACAGTGTGGCCCAGCCGCCCCACCCCGGCCCTGGCCCTCCACCACCCGGGCTCAGTCTGAGCAGGACACCAGCCTTGGGGAGGCGGGGGGAGCGTGGCCCTCACACGTTTCTTTTTGCAAAGGAAGACGATACTGCCGCCTTCTGCGCTGCCGTCTGAGACTGCGGGGGGGGGGGGGGGGGGAGGAGGGGTTGGTGCAGCAGGCCGGGCGCTGGCCCCACACAGCCCATCAGGGTTCGATCCCTAGCACCCCACATGGTTCTCCGAGTCCCATGGGAGTCATCCCTGAGCACAGAGCCAGGAGTCCTCCCAGAGCACCGCTGGGTGTTATTCGAAACAAAGACCCACGACTACAAGGGAGCAGAGCGGGGGCCCCTACACGGAGCCACTGCTTGCAGCCCCCCAGCCTGACACGACTGCCATCCCCATCCCCCCACCCATTCTGCCGCCGGAGAAAGGGAGGACGCAGGCTCACGGGCCCCCTGCTGTCCTGCTGTGCCCACCGTCCCTGACCACACCTCTGGCTCGCTCACCTGACCACTGTGCTTCCCAGCTCTCTACCTGGCTCTAAGCTACCCCCATCCTCCATCAGCAGTGTCAGACATCTGCCTGATGGGGAACGGGGGGCTCTCTAGCATCCCAAGATCCTCATCCTCCACCCACCTGCCCCCCAAGCATGCCCTAACACCCCCACCCCCAGGCCCTTTGCTCCAGTCCAGCAGGTGAACTGGCCCCCGGGGAGGACCAAGGGGCTGGACTCCAGAGAGCAGCACGCAGGGGAGCAAGCTACTCAGCCCTGGGCCTCCCTCCGGCCGTGCCTCCTTCGTTCTCCTTGTGTGGCCGCACCCCAAGGGGTAGCACCTGCCCCTCACAGGACGTGCCCGAGAGAGTGACACTGGCCACCTTGACTTTCCTAATGAGTTTATTGAAGCAAGATTCCTGTTCTATCCAGGACACACTTGGGCTAGTTGGGGTCTGGGGGCCACACCCCCAGCGTGGGGCTTAGGGGACCGTGGGGTGTGGGGGATGACCACATGGACAGTCCGGGCTCCAGCCCTCAAGCCAGCACTGGACCCAATTAACCCCTTTAAAAGGGACCAGTTCAGGGGCAAGAGCGATATAGCATGGCGGGTAAGCCGTTGGCCTTGCACGCGGCCGACCCGGGTTCAATTCCCAGCACACCGAGCACCGCCAGACACCCCTTTCCCCCAGACCCATGCATGCACACAGGCACACACACGCGCGCGTGCACACACACACACACACACACACACACATGCGCGCGCACATGCTCTGGCTGTGTCTCTGAGGACAACACATACACACGCACACATACACACACATGCACACACACACACACACACACAAACACGCTCTGGCTGTGTCTCTGAGGGCAAAACACGCACACACACACACACACACGTGCACACACTCCTGCTCTGGCTGTGTCTCGAGGGCAGCGCGCACACACACACACACACACACACACACACACACACACACACACCCTTTCAGGCTGTCTCCAAGGGCAGCACTGACCCAGCACTTCCTCTCTGGTCAGGGCCCCGGGAACAAGTCAGAGAAACCCAGGTCAGGCCAGGGAGTTGGTGCCAAGGGCCGGGCACAGGCTTTGCAGGCGGGAGCCCAACACCACAGGGCCCCTGAGCACTGCACAAGATGTTTCGCAAAGAATAAAAGACGCACAACCAGGTGGAAGCCCCTTGCGCTGCTCCCAGCACTGCCCAGTCGAGCACCTTGGCCTCCCACAGCCCCTGTCCACCACCCACTCCAAGGGTCCCACAGCCTAAGACCCACACCCCTGCCCTAAACCCTCCCACCAACTTACTGTGGCTCTTACTGCGCGCTGCACGGGGCCCTCAGAAGGGGGGCAGAGACCAAGGCGCCCTCCACGGGGAGCCCGTCCAGGAGAGTAGAGGACAACGTCCAACACCCAGGGCAATGCTAATGGACCCACGGGAACAGCACAGAGAAGCACCCCAGGACAAGCACGAACCAGCCCCGCCCCCGCCTGGCTGCCTCAGTATCCCCTCTAGCACCAGAGTCAGGCCGCATCAGGGAGCCCCAGAGGACAAGTAGGTGTCCACTAAGTCGGAGGAAGGTGGAAGGTTCCTGGGGCCCCAGGAGGCCTGGAGGGGCCAAGAAGGGGGAAGATTTGGAAGGTTCTAGAGTCAGTGACGCTGCTGAGGTCGGGATGGGGGGAGGGCGGTGAGCTGGGCTGGGCAGGAGCGGTGGGGAGGCTGCTGTCCCCAGAGTCCAGTGCAGCCTCTCCATCTGGGGCTGGGCAAACAGAAAGTTCTGGATCTGCCAGCAGCCCTGACGGGGGCTGAACAGAGCAAGCACCTCACACGGGAGAAGGGATAAAGGGATGCCACCTCCAGGAAGTCCACTAGTGATGGGCTGCAGGCCTCCCAGACCCCAGATTCGAGGAAAGGGGGGCTGAAGGGCTCGTGCAGGAGTGAGGTGAGGCTGTGTGTCTACAGCCCAGTCACCGACCCTCTCTGGGCCTCATGTCTGCCATCACCAGAGAAGTTAGAGCTGCTCCACCCTTCACCCCACCACAGGGCCAGAGCCCCAAAGGAGGCCGAGCTGACCCACCCTCGCCAGGTCCAGCCCCCACCCCCCACCACCACCACCTGCCTGACTTTTCTGCTGGGCGGGAAACGCTCTCGCGCTAAGCCTGGGCTGGAGGGACGGTGCCCACCCGTCCCAGCCGTGACTGCCACAGCGACAGAGACTGGTGGGGGCAGAGAGTGATTTCAGAGCAGCGTGGGAGCCCCCCAGACCGCTCCTCGTCCCCCCTCCCCAACATTCTCTGCCGCGGAAACATCTCCCCAAAGTGACCGCTGCGCGCAGGCAACAGGCTCCCGTAGCATATTTTCTCATGAGGTTAAAAATACAAGCCTGGGAGGGAGAAGGGGTTTGGCTGAAGGTCAGAGGGGAAGGCCTGTTTCTTCGGAATCTCGGAAAATAAACACTGGCCGCCCTGGGCTCTCGGGGTGGGGGGTCGGCACTGTTCAAAGGGAAGGTCGGGCCGGGCCCGAGGCGAGGGACTAGGAGCTGGGACACCGCGTCCCTTCCTGGATGACCAGACGGCCGGCCTCTCGCCACACGTGTCCATGAGACAGGGAGAACTCGGGGTGGGCACAGCCAGCTGCCCAGGGGGACCGGGCCAGAATTCAGGGGCGCCCGAAGGCTGCTCTGAGCCAGTCCAGCTGGGGGGACAGTACACGGGGGAGTCCCCTGAGGCCACCGCCCCTCAGGGGACACGGTCACTGTGTCACCTTCCCCCCCCCCCCTCCCGCCCCGGCATCAGCCTCTGGGCTACTGGAGAACGTCAGGACAGTGCGGGGCGGGTGAGTCACGAGTCCTCGCTGCGTTGATGAGCTACTGTTGGGCGGTCACTCGGGCCCCCTACGTGTCGGGGCCACAATAGTCACGGCAGCGACAGCAGCAAGACAGAGAGGCCACGTCCGGCGTGACGTCTACACTCTGGGGCTGCCCTGTCCACCGGGCAGTTGGGGGTAGCCAGCCCCGTCCCCGCAGGGCTGGGGCCAGTCCCACACTCGCACCTGGGCTCGGACACTCCCTGAGGGGACCTGGCAGTAGCAAAGGGGGCGGGGGGGGGGGGGGACCAGACCCCACACGGTCACCCACGCCCCAAGTGCTCTGGCCAGCTGGGAGACAGGGTCATGCATACCATGTTCAGTCCTTGCCCAGGCACACACGGCTCTGAGCTCAACCTGCAGCAGGGGACACAGGCCTGGCACAGACGGGATGAGGGGCCTAGGCAGGTGACAGGACCGGGGCCGGGGACAGGGGGCAGTAAAGCAGCAGGAGAAAACCAGGAGCATCAGGAGAGGCAGCAGGAGGGCTGTGAGCAGGGAGCACCCGGGAGGAGCGGAGAGCACTTGGGGAGTAGGAAAGAGGAGGAATGTGAGCAGGAAACAGCCGGGAGGAATGAGGAGCACCTCAGCACCAGAAGGAGCACGTGGGAGGAGCAGGGAGCACTCCGGAGCAGTGGGAGCTCTCAGGAGCAGTGAGAGCACCCAGGAGAAGTGGAAAAACTCAAGAGGAGCAGGGAGCACTCAGCACCAGTTGGAGCACTTGGGTGCAGTGAGAGGACTCAGGAGCAGTGGGAGTACCCAGGAGGAGTGGGAATACTAAAAAGAAGTGAGGAGCACTCAGGAGCAGTGGGGAGTATTCAGGAGCAGTGGGGAACATTCAGGAGCAGTGGGGAACATTCAGGAGCCGTGGGAGCACCCAGGAGGAGTGGGGAGCACCCAGGAGGAGTGGGGGAGCACTCAGGATCAGGGAGAGCACTAAGGAGCACCGAGGAGGATTGAGCAGATTTTCAGAATCAGATGA